TGGCAAGCTTTTTTTGTGGCTTGTCTTTGACGAGGCCGGTTCGCGATTAGTTGTTTTTTTTTGTTTGTGCTGCGCTCTTTCTGTTTTTTCCTTTTATTTTCTTCTAAAAAGCAGGTGCCGATGGTGACCCCCCAGGATTGGCTCAAGGGCACAAGGTGGGACGGCATGCCCTACCACGTGACCCTTGGCCATCCTGGGTGGCGGGTCACCTCGGAGCAAGTGGAGGCTCGTTCCTTTTTTTTCTTTTTGGTCTTCGTCGTTTCTTTACGTTGACTGCTACTTTTAATTACAGGCGCTTGCTGCCGAAATCTCCGGCTACCACTTCCGCACAAAGTTGCTGAAGTGGAGCCAGGCGCGTGCTCATTCTTTTTTTTTTGTGTGTACATGCGTGTGTGTGAATGCGTGCTGCGCTCTCAGGATCCGAGGAAGACGGCATATGTCGTCGAGGGAGATGGCTTGCTGCCTCTCCTCGGCCGGCTCCAGCGAGAGCTGCAGAAGTTTTTAAAAAATATATCGCCTCCAAAGGTCGCTGTGTTGCTACTGTTGCTGTTTCTGTTAGTGATCGTGGGCTGAATGATATTATAATATAAGTTGCGAGAGCCCAATGCGAGTCTGGTTGCCGCATTGAAAATGCATTCTGAATGAGACGTGACGTGAACTGGTGGTGTTTTGCGCTGTGAGCTGGTCATGTGAAAAAAGCGAACTATTGGGCAAGCGTTTACTCGTGAGAAGAGCATGTAGTATGTCATATGAGATTGCATATGCCTGTGTGCGTGATCTGTTTCAGCTTGCGCCCTGAGTGTTGCATTCTTTTTTTTGCTTGTTCGTTACTGAGGTTGTAGGTGTGGTTGACGGCGGGCAGTTGCTCCATCGTCCCGGCTTCCCTCCCTAAAACTAGCGCGGTGGCTCTTGTGTTGATTGTGCTGATTGTGCTGAATGCATGGCAAATTCTCCAGTGTGCTCTTGTCATGATGAACCAGCTGTTGCCGGCATCTACGTTGCATTTAGCCCTAACATTGCCGATGTGTTTCGTAGCTATCTTGTAGAATGTGTTTGCTTTGAGCCTGTGTGGTGTAGAAGTGAGTCTACCTGTATACGTTTGGGTGATGTAAGCGTTCCGACAAAAGCATATGCGCAACAGCGGCTGTGAAGTTGCCATGACTGTTGAGTGTGTCTTGTAGTGCGAGCTGGCTGTGCAAAACGATTGTTTATGCAAGTGTCCTTTTTTTGAAGCAGCTCGATACGCGTAATATATGTGTGCGTATGTGTGTGTGTACTGTTTCAGCTCATGCCTTTTGTGTTGCGTGTTTCTATTTGCTTTTGTTGCTTTTCAGCCAATGAGCATTGCGACGAAGCAGTGCCTCTTGTGTTGTGTGGTGAAAGTGTTCTGTTGTGTTTGTTTTTTTGGTCAGGATCACAAGCTATTTTTGTGGCTTGTGTTCGACGAGGCCGGTTCGTGATTAGTTATAACCATAATAACAATAGTGTGTGTGTGATACTTACAATTACTGGTTGGTGGTTTGGAACCTGAATTTTATTTTTCCATATATTATAATAATCCCAACTGACTTTCATATTTTTCCGAGGGGTTGAAACCACCAACCAGAAAATAATAGTTGAAATTTCCAGTTTAATTAATAGTTGAAATTACCAGTACTAGTTTTTTTGAACTGCACATTTGAAATTGCCAGTTTCGCCTACTAATAGGTAGTTACTGGCAATTAGACATGTTATTGTTTATTTAACCACCATGTTTGATAGGTAAACCATGTCTAATTGCCAGAGGTTAAAATCTACAGTATTTTGAGATGTTCCCATCCACCAGGTCAAACTTCTGCCCAAATTTCTGCGGAAAGCTGGATGGGAAGAATGTAGAAGGTGAGACCCTCACTATCTCACTTATCTTTGTTGCCCAATTAAGTAAGCCATAAACCATCGATATAAACCAATGGTATGTAAACCATGAAATAAACCACCCATTTTGGTATATGTTTTACCTAAATTGAAAATCGATTTACCCAATCAGCTATATCTGGTTAATCCTCCAATAATAATATATTGGATAATATATCTGGTTTTATTGGATAAAATAATAATTATATCTGGTTTAAATGAATTAATTCAATATCTGGTTATATCCTCCATAAACCATCGAATTCACCAAGAGTTCACGAGTTCAATGGCCGTGTGTAGCCATGGTGTACCAAGCAGCGAGGAAAGATGATGAGCTGTTGCTTGTGAATGGCCACTCGGATGTGTTGGTCGATAGTGTCGATGTCAAGAGTCGACTCGTCGGCACAGAGATGGACTGGGATAAAACTTGGGATAGGTTGGTGCTTTAGTCTTATGAAAAGGTATAGAAGTATCCAGTTTCTTTACGTTATAGCAACCTCAAAATGATAGAACAGCGTTCCCAGGATTTTAGTTCGGTGACCATTATCTACTTCACATGTCCAGGTTTCCCACGTTTCTATCTATTTTGGTGTTTGCTGTACATTAATGGGATAAGACGTGTATGTCAGTTCGATCTTGACACTAGGTGCCAAAAAAATACCCAAACCCCAAACTAATCGAACCAATAAGACTTAGTAAGATCAGTAAGAAGATATGTGCAATGTGGGGCCCCCAAACGATAGCTAAGTTGGTGCAAATAACTCCAATAACCATGACTTATGGTACTTGTAACCATAAAGCAACTTCTAATTATTGGGGTTTATATTAACTACAACTAAGTTGTCTTATAAGTGGCTGAATTCTATGGTTTATGGTAGATATAATTATATTATACTATAGTATTCATGGGGTTTAGAAAACAACAAACATACCTTGTGGGCTTTACATTGGGGACCAGGAATCTACCTCTCCGGGGGACATGTGAACTTTGACGTTACAACCATGAAAACCACGAGATATCTCCCATAAACCCAAGGGCCATAGGAGATACGTCAACCGCCCTGTAGCTATAACGAACTGTTGAACCATGGTCTCTTTCTCTAACCCCGGACCTGGTGGGATGTCAAAACCGTCGAAATCCATAGAGTTGGAGGAAATTCGGAGGAAACTTTCCAGTTGTTGACTCATACCCCAGGAAAGAACATGTTGGAATGCTAATATCCAATGAACCCCTCGCCCCAGGAGTTGCGCCGGGCAGTGACTACTGGGAAGTCTTCAACGAGAAGGAGAACTATGCCAGAGGGCATGAAGACTTGTGGTTTTTAAAACCCTTGGCAATATGCCACTACACCCAAAACACACTACTGGGAAGTCTGAAACAAAACCACAAGTTTTGCTGCCACATCACTTGTGTTTTTTGGAAGGGGCCACTGGGTGAACCTGAACATTGGGAACAGTTTTTGAGCGCTTTACGAGTTATTTTTTTCATGGGCTTATCATCAACCATAAATGGGTTATCGCATCCTTTTTTCTCGGGATATGGCAGCAACCCAGCAAAAAACATGGATACTTTTGGCAGGATGTCAAAAATTGATCTTAAGAAACAAGCGATTCACCTTGGGGTCCAGCAATTTGACCTACCAAAAAAGACATGTTTTGACTTGTTATACCATTTATTATAACTTGGAGGAAAAGATTATACTTGGGTTTATAAAATACTTGGGTCAATTATGACTTATAAAATACTTGGGTCAACTATGACTTATAAAATACTTGGGTGGCTTTCTTTTCTTGTGAAACATGTTAGATACCAGGTCTAGATTTATTTCGTCCCAGTCTTCGAGTCTTCGCTGCCCCATATTTGGAGGAATAAACATCCGTTGGCCAGCAATTATAGGGAACCTATGGTAGCAGGGTTGTGACTCACACCCTCTGGTCCACTGACATAGCTATTGAAAATCACCATTTTTAATTTAATAGGTAATTCAACTATAAATTGGCCATGTTCAATAGCTATTTTGACATAACCAGAGGGTAACCATATACCCAGATGCTCCATGGTGCTGGAATATTTACCTAGATTTACCCTAAAAATCATCCAAATGTAGGTAAATATACCAGCGCCATGGAGCATATGGGATAGAAAAACCTTAGTGAACATCGTTGCCATTGTGTTCACCGAGGTCGAGCTCGTTTTCAGACGGGCGAAGATCAGCAGTTCTGAGTCCTCTGCCTGACGATCCAATGGTGCCCGAAAATCATAACAAGGTGGTGCCCCCCAAGTTATAAGTTGATTTATAATCCCATGAATACTAGTTCGATATATCACCAACAAAAACCATAGTGAAATTGGAGTTATGTTCACCAACTTAGCGTTCTCGAACGGGGGCACCACCTTGCAACATTGTGATTTATCTGCCAAACATGGTGATTTGATTAATAATGATTACCATATTCAATCATCAAAAATAAAATGTAACATGATGTAACCAACCACATGTGGGGTTGATGTGAGATTCATGTTGGCTAAGCTGGTATATATATATATATCTACATGAAACTAGTCAACTGGGGTAACATAAACTAGCAAAAATCACTGGGGGCGCCACCGTGTATATCATATCTGTTTGCAGCGAACTTCTTGCAACCTTTTGCAGCGAACTTTGCAGCAACCGTTTTAAAAATCATGTTCAGAGAGTTCGAATTGAGGATGATTGGTTTAAATTACCATTTGGTTATTTAACATAGCCATGGAAAGATCCACCAATTTTTCATAGGTAAACCATCTATTTCTATGGGCCATCGAAAAACCATGGCTATGTTAGTCATAACCAGTGATGCCACATTTAGCAATGGGTTTGTCTGGAAATGGGGTTTGTTCCCGCCACATGGCAATGACTCAATATTATTGAGACTAAACTTGACTAAACTAAATACCAACACTTTTACACCCTGTTTATAGTTAGGACCTCAAAAAAAGTCGCAAGAAGGCGCAATATTCCACGGTGGAATACCCTCCAGTCATTCAACATGGCTGTTAATTTTTCATCATTTCAAATAGGTTCATCATTGAACTAAGTGTCAATGGATTGGTTTAAGGGAAAATCTACAGGAAACCATAGATCCTATATCATTGAACTAAGTGTCAATGGATTGGTTTAAGGGAAAACCTACAGGAAACCATAGATCCTATTAAATATGTGTTTTTCCTCTAAATTTTTCCGACCCAATCCATTGAACTAAGTGGGACATTGTCCAGTTCGCAAGCTGTGAAACATTACCAGAGGGTATATTTTCATTGAAGGGTTGCCACCGAAAACTTGCAAAGGTTCCATGGGGATCTGAACCTGGCTGGTGGTGTTACGAACCGTTAGCCCCAGAAACAAAGGAGACATAGCATTGTTTTTTCAGTACCCATAGTATCCATGTATGGTGCTAACATTTGAGGTATATTCATGGTAAATGTTACCATATATACCATACATGGATCCTATGGGGTATGATTGCAATTTGCTTCGGGTTTCACTTAGTTGTTTTTTGGGCGTTACACATCATAAATTTGAATTTGTTTAAAATCTCCTTACATGAGATGTTGAAACAGGGTGATGGACATGTTTTTTGAATGTTTAATGCTTGGGACATGTCCTCATCTGTCCTTTTCGTTTCCACAGTAGATCCGTATATATGTTTACTTGTACAGTGGGAATGACCCCCACCACAACATAGCAGGGGTTTCAAGAGTTCACAATGAGCAAAACGCTTCAAGAAGTGTAAAATGTGGTCAAGAATTTGGCCTACTTAGATGGGAATGGGTCAACCAGAACCGTATTGGTGGGGGATGAACATTTGTTTGACAATACTGAGTGTTATTTTCAGTTGGTCAGGGTCTTGATTCGTACAATGTGGGGCCCCCCAGTGATGTTTGTTGGTTTATAGACCCCATGAATACTATAGTTATAAGTACAATAAACCATAGTTATTGGAGTTATGTTCACCAACTTAGCTATCGTTTGGGGGCCCCACATTGTAGGTGTTTGTTATCTTTTTGGGGTTGCTCTTTCCCCTGGATTGGTTTTGTTGGGAAACTCTTAACCAGAAACCATCGATTTTCCCATTTTTTTTAAATAGGGGTTTTCCCTGGAAAACCAATCCATTGATCTTTTCAACCAGGGAAACTGATAGGAAACTGATAGCTTTTCTATCTTTCCCTTAAACTCACTCAGATCACCATGGGCATTCCCAGTTGGCTGTGCCGCGATGTGTATCCAACCAGGCTCCCGTGCGGAGCCGGGGAGAACAGGAGCGCGTCATTCACGTGGCAAAAAGACACTCCCGAAGTTGGCAAGTCCCGAACTCCAGTAATTACACTCTGGTTATGTCAAAATAGCTATTGAAAATGGCCCATTTATAGTTGATTTACCCATTAAAAATTGTGATTTTCCATAGTTATGTTAGTTTCTGAGAGGGAAAATGTTCATGGTACTGTATATCACTAGGTCTTTTGCTATCCACTTGTGTGGCCCTTAGGTTTTTTAGGCCCGATACATTTTCTGTGCTAATACCGGGTTGCCATGCCCCAGTACATTTTAAGGGTATAACAGCAAACCAACTTAGGACTCGGGGTGAAGCAGCTTCTAGATCATGAGGGTATCAACCAACCGCACAATGTAGATTTATCATGTTTTTGCCATCAAAACATGTAGATTCGAGATGATTTGGGCAAGAAAACCATGTGGATACCTATGGATATCTCAATTTGTGCCAAATGCCGCTGATGGGCAGATCTCGCCTTGGATGTTGCCTCCAAGTATGTACCTATCTATCTATCTATCTATTTATCTATCTATCTATCTATCTATCTATATATCTATCTATCTATCAAACTATCTATCTATCTATCTATCTATCTATCTCTCTATCTATCTATCTACCTATCTATCTATCTATCTATCTACCTATCTATCTATCTATATATACATATATATATATATATATATGTACGAACTTTCACCAACAAAAAAACATGGACCAGGCGGTACCGTGCCTAGGCGTTGATCGCAGTGGTTGGGAGATGGTGGCGAACTTCTTCAAGTTATCTCCCGTCGCTCGGCAGTACCGGAAGGGCCTTGGAAGTGCAGTTCTCAGTTATAAGTGATATACAACTTTAGGGGGTTGTATAAGTGATAATCCCTTTCTAATACTAAACGCCGCCCCCCCTATTACTAAACACGGCAGGTAGTTTTTAGTATTAGGGGGTATTTATCATTAGGGAAACCCTATTAATAAAATTAAACCCTTAATAATAAACACTATTTTTTCCGATCTCAAAATCAATTAAATTTCTTTTTATAACGCAATTAAAATATTACCAACAATTGCAGTTCGAAGCTTCCCCCTAATATTAAATTAAAACCCTATAATAAAGACTATTTTTTCGATCTCAAAATCAATTAAATTTCTTTATATAACGCAATTAAAATATTGCCAAAAATTGGATTTCGAAGCTTCCCCCTATATTAAATCAAAACCCTTAATAATAAACACTATTTTTTCCGATCTCAAAATCAATTAAATTTCTTTATATAACGCAATTACAATATTGCCAAAAATTGGATTTCGAAGCTTCCCCCTAATACTAAAATAAAAACCTTAATATAAAAAACTAAATCAATCGGACGGACCCTAATAATAAACACCCCGGGGTGAACTAGTTTTTAGTATTAGGGGGGGAAACCCACAAATGGTTGATTTTTAAATTGTTTTCTAAAGAGTATCAATTAAAAATCAAATTGGCCAATCTGAATTTTTCTGAAATTGGAGATGGACGCCTGCTTTTAGTATTTGGGGGACATTTAGTATTAGGAGGAAGGGATTATAGATTCCACTGTTTATAGATAATTTTCCCATGAAAACTCAATGCTATATTTGACTACCAAAGGGTATAACAATAGCCATGGGGGGCCTGGGGACGGGCCATATCCTAACAAACATGCGAAACCATAACTATGCTTGTAGTGATTTGTAACCTCAACTGCCCCCCCAAGTGCGGAATATTGAGGAATTTTAGTGAAGAATTTGGAGGGTAGGATATACATGGAAAGATCATACCCCCAATCAACATAGACCCTGAGTATCGCCAGTTTTTGAACCTTCCGACCTCTGAATTTGTGGTCGGGTCTATGTTGGGGATTGGGAATCTTTTGCCGTGGAATAGGAATATTTACCAACCAGTTGCCAATGTAGTTTTTGATGGTAAGAACATAGCGTATGGATAAGGTGTTCTTTTCTGAAGATTGAGAGGCCCGAAAACCAGCAAAACTAGAATGGCTTTGTAGGGTCATCAATTTGGCGAAGCATGCATATGTGCATTCATGAAACTTGGAAAGTTGAAGATTGTTCATGCCATTTCATGCCTCACATGATCCAGATATGGTGAAAATGGGATGGGAGCTCGTGGCAATGGTTTTTTTTGGGAACATGAATGAACGTGGCGATGAAAAAATACATGTGGGACCGGGAATAGATACGCCTTTTTGTCAACCCCACTTAACCTAGATACTTTTACCTACTTACATAGTGGTTGATATCATTTGTAATAATGCCCATGATTTGTTTTTCAGATTTGAATCCTGAGGCCATAAACAATTTCGTATAGCCCCATGTGTTAACTAGTCAACAGATATGTTTAATGGCTCAGTTGTTGCATAACTTAATTTCTATATCCAAAAACAACTGATCCATGGGAATATTCCATTGGTTTCCAGTAAATAGCATGATCAACCGATCGATATGATCAACTAAATGGCGTTGAAACCAGGATTTTGTTGCTAAAAAACATGATTAAACCATGATCTGGCAGTGTGTCAAAACCTTGTACCCCTTCTGTTCACATCAAAATAGCTGGGATTTATGGATGTGAATAACCACCTAAAAATGGTCTGAACATATATAGGTATTGATCCATACCCATCTCAGACCAGTTTGAATGTTGGATATTTAAGTACTAACAAAACCCCATTTATAGAATGTTTCTTATCCCATAGAAATAACCAGTTATAACTGGTTTTTATGGCCATCAGCCTGTGTTTTGTGGAGCTAAATCGCTAAAGAAAAACATGGAGCGAAACCGATGGATCTCAGACATCTCAGACACCGAGCTGAGGCCTATCCCCCCACGGGTCTCTATCATAACTTGTTGCGCTTGCGCTGGGGCGCCGGGGCGGCTCGAGACCCGGAGGGTGGAGTTCTCCCTGGATTTCATGGTGCAAAAATGGTGGTTTCACTCCGAAAAATGGTGC